GGCCAGGCAGCACTTCCTCCGGGGGCTGGAGATGGACTTGCCTGAGCACTCATGGACTTCACTAGCCACACACTAGGGGAAGGGAGGGAAGTGGTGTGTGACAGAAACACTGAGGAAACTGAGGCAAAGGACTACTGCCAAAGATACAGTGGAGGTAGGTGTTTACTTATTATTCATATAAACATGTGTTTGATTTGTTGTGTGTTCTTAAATTAATCCTGGTTCCTTTTCCCCTGAGTATAGGTTTTTCCTGTTTTGTGCAGACTCAGTGCTGGCAAAGGGGGAAGTATCGCCCAATAAGGGCGCTCAGGGAAGGCATTTAATTTTCCCAGGTTTCTGGGTGGGGGTTCAAGCCAGTGTGTTTGTTAATTTAAAGAGGAACCCCTGGATATTTGAACCTGAGCCTTTTTGCTGCTAACACCACCTGGCAGAATAGTTTTTTTTTTACACACACACACACACACACACACACACACACACACACAGCGAGCACCATTCCAAAGACACACAAGCCCAAGATGATGGAAATCACAGGAGAGCCAATGACCGTTTGAGATTTTCTGACATTTGTGGCTAAAATATAACAGCAACAGTTGGAAGATGTTGGTACCAGTTAATCTGAATCTGAACCGCCCCCCATCCCCACCCCCCGCGACTCAGCCTCAGCCCCAGCCTAAACTTAACTCAACATCACATCCAGGCACCACCTTCCAGCCTCATCTGTACCTTTGTCAGGCACAAAGAGTCACCTATCCATCTAACTGACTGGCTGACAGAAACTCTGATAAAATAATAAGAAAACCCAGAGCCTGAGATTACACATCCTGTGTTTTTACATAAGTAACATCATAGACAATCGGTCCTGCCATGAGTGCAGGGGACTGGACTAGATGACCTCTCGAGGTCCCTTCCAGTTCTATGATTCTATATAAACACAATATGGTAGGGATCATTCTGGGTAATTGCCATTCTGATCATCATACTGGAATGATTGCAACATCTGTATCAATAAAACAGTGACATTTCTACCCCTAAATCAGGTATGTGACAGGACAAAATTCTACACCTTTCCTGGCACTGGGATAAAATGCATTCTTAAACTGCAGTATCTTTCCCTTGGAGCCATCTGACACTCAGGGGAAGGGGTGCAATTCTTTCCTACATTTGAAAACAAAGAAATGATTTCTAATCTACCCTTTAAAATGAAATCCCTGTGATGGCAATAAGAGTACAACATCAGCACCAACAGGAAATGGCTTTTGGAAAATGAGATTTGATCCAGGTTGAAATAACCAGTGACCACTGAAATTGGATTCCACTCTAGAACTCTTTCTACTGAAAAATACACCTTCTCTGATAAAGAAGTAAATAAAAACGGAGCTATACTAATCGGAAAAATGAAAACACTGAAAATAAACTTCTTCGCCTGAAGTCAGCATTGTGTCTGAATGTACCAGTCCAATCCATCCACGAGAGTCTCCTGATAGTTAGCCTGTTGTAGAGTAGCATGGACCCAGAGATTTCCCTCTTTTATTTTGTGCAATCTGGGAAAAAAGTAATGGATTCTGGTGGTGAGACCCTGTTTTCTCTGTACAATTTGGTGAGCATCTAAATGGGTTTCAGAGCTTCCCTCCATTTGTTGTAGGCAGACCTATAGGAAAATAAAGCAATTAAAACTTAAGCAGATACATTAAAATCTTTCAGTTCTCTATGGGTTGCCTAATAGTGGATTGTCCTTGGTGTGTTTGCTATCATACTTATCATGTAGGACTGAGGGCATTTACCGCAATCTTGCATTCAACATACTTAGAAAATATGAACTTCTACATCTCTACACAGCTGTATGTCTCAGCCTTTCACTTGAAAGAGCAATAGATTGCTGGATACATCTAGCTAATGTAAATCCATGTGTAATGCAGACATTACTGAAGGAAAATGTGTTCTGATAAATTATCTTGCCCTATTATGGCTAGAGCAAATTAACAACAGAGAAGATTTCTCTAATCAGGGAAACCGTTTGCCAGAATTCACCCCCCAATTTTCCACCCTCTAATTTTCAGCAGAGACCTGCTCTTTAATCAAGAGAAAGTCACTGCTCCAAATAAATACAGCCAGGTGATCACACAGAGACAACACTAAGTGTTAGCATGCCAGGATAGTCCAGTAATTATCCAGAGTATGATTTAGACTTTCGAGTCCTTGTTATGACCATGCTGATAGCCTTAAATCTCACCAAATCTACTTGCTACATATTTTGCTGCCTTGTTAGTCTGCCTCCAAGCTCAATGCCATGCTGGTTAATTATGATTGGTTATTAAACATTGCATGGCCCAACTGGTATGGAGAGTCAGCACAGTGCCAAACCTTCTCTCCTGGAAGGACAGTGGCCCACCAGGGAACACTTTTGACACAAAAGAACTCGTTCTGCAAATTAAGTCAGTGCCTCTCATCTGAAAGCTCCCCACTAGCATCAAATCTTACATTTCTACCGCAAAAGCATGTCTGTGCATCTCCACTGGAATTGTTAGCTGAGATTTAACAAGTTACCCATCACAACTGTAAATTCTAGCACAGACTCTATACAATTAATAGATTATAAAGGCAGAAGAGACCACAGTGATCATCTAATCTGACCTCCTGTGTAACACAGGCCATGGAACTTATTTGAATAAATTTCTGTTTGAACTGAAGCGTATCTTTTAGGAAAACATCTGATCTTGCGTTAAAAATTGCCAGTGATGGGGAATCCACCACAGCCCTTGGTCAATTGTATTGATGGTCAATTACCCTCACTGTTAAAAAATTGCACCTTATTTCTAGGGTGAATTTGTTGAGCTTTAACTTCCAGCTATTGGATCTTGTTATGCCATTGTCTGCTGGACTGAAGAGCCCATTTCTATTCTAGCAACAAGCATTAGTGTCCTGTCTACACTAGAATTTACAATTGTGTTAACACATGACTACATTTTGGGTGTAGACATACCCTAAGTATGTGTCTCTAGCTCCATTAAGTAGTTATATGAGCCCAATGACTCTAGTGTCTTTAATGTATTTACCCTCACAACACCCCTGTGAGGTAAGGCAGTGTTTTTCTTCCATTGTACAGACAGGGAACTGAAAGGAAACTAAGTGACTTGCCAAAGGTCACATAGGACATCTTGGGCAGAGCAGGGAATTAAACCTAGGTCTCCCAAATTGCAGGCTAGCATCCTAATCACTGGATCGTCCTTCCTCTCCCCCTCACTTGTGCCTACACATACAGCACCCTGCGTCCCCCAGCTCTCCATCCCCGCAGTGTTCTGCATGTTGCATATGCACCAGTACCCTGTCCTATCACTGCCTGGGTCCCTCTCTGTTCCTTTCAGCACTGTTGTACCCCTGTCACCCACAGAGTTACCTCCTTCACCCACCATGATCTGTGTCCCCTCACACACTATCCCCCATCCATTCTCTTGGTCTCCCCCTCTTTGAGTCCAGTCTCTCATATAGGGATGCCTGCCCCCCTCCCAGAGCAGTAACTTCCTCCTCCCTGTCAGGAAGCAGGTTGGCACCTGTACTTTCTGCCCCCCTTCCACATTGGCTCTTCCTCCCCCTTCTTGTGTATGCAGCTAGCAAGAAGGGAGGCTGGACTCTTCCCTCTGGCCCCTCCTGGTGCTCCTGTGCCTGTCAGCTGATGCAGGGAGTTCTTTCTGCTACTCACCACTGTCCCACAGGAGTGAGGGCTGAGAGCTCTGCAGCTACTACTGCACCGTAGCAGCATTTTGGGGGCTAGGATTGACCTCCCTTGCCCTCCCCTTCTCTCCCCTCTCCCACAGACTCAAAGCAAAGAGGGAAAATACACTCTTGTCCCCATCTACCTGAAAACTGGAGGGAAACCCCTCTTCACCCACATCCCTCCCCTATAGTTAGGCCTCTGGTGGCCCATAGAGACTCTGCTGGCCCATAGAAGGATGCAGTTAAAAAGTAAAAGGAGGCCGAAAAAATTTCCATAGGAGTTTGAGAGCTGGCAGCCGGCTGGAGCTGGTTATTCCACCTGCCACTCGTCCAGAGAGCATTCACACTGGGCAATACTGCTGTGCTGGTACTGAGCACTGGCTTTCTAACAGCTAGCAGAAACATGTCTCTGCCCTGTGTCATTCAGGCTTGGCTCCAGGCCTCACCCTCTTTCTTCACCTCGCTATCTTGCTTTGTTTTTTTGGTGAGCTTGAGAAAATAAATGTGGTTACTCTCCAGTCTGAATTTATGTATAACCATAATAATAAACCATATCTGTGTAAACAGGAAGATATTGGATATTAGGAAAAACTTTTTCACTGGGAGGGTCGTGAAACACTGGAATGCGTTACCTAGGGAGGTGGTGGAATCTCCTTCCTTAGAAGTTTTTAAGGTCAGGCTTGACCTTTGAGCAGGGGTTGGACTAGATGACCTCCTGAGATCCCTTCCAACCCTGATATTCTATGATTCTATGAACACCAAGCCATTAGGACAAGCCTAATCTTCCCTTTCTGTTGTTAAAAGTGCCTAAACAATTTTCTGTTTTTTTTTTTCAATTAAATTACAAGTTTTGCTTTGAAATAGATGGACTCTGTCACAGTGGAAAATCCCTCTTATCTACACTCCTTGAAGTGAACAAAAAAACTGAACAGAACAAATTAGACTTTAGTACAGGCGAGGGTTGCCAACGTTCTATTTAAAAAGTCCGGGACAGACCTCCGCTGTCCCCATTCTTGACTTGAACCTCTGAGGGCAAGTCCCTTTCCTCCCACCCCCATGCTTCCTAGGGTTTCTCTCTCCCCAGTTCTGGATGCTGCGGAGATCCCAGGGCCTCAGATGCTAGGCCAGCAACCACTGCAACTCCTGTTCATGTTCTGCTCAGGTGCCGGGAGCTGAGTTGGAGGCTGCAGTTGCTGGTCTTTGCCTGCTGCAGTGCTGTGCACCCTGCTACGGACATTGGCAGAGACTGCAAGTGGGGAGGGTACACCCCAGGAGTACTGACTCACCTGCCAGGCAGAGCCCCTTTCTGACCCTGGCCATTCTGTGCAACTCCAGGGCACACAGCCCCATCCACTTGCCCTGCCAGACAGAGTAGGGAAAGCACATGGGGCTGCACTCAAGGACCGAAGTCAGCAGGGGGCCAGTACTCATGGGTGTATCTTTCCACTCCCCTCCCAATCCTGGCCCTTGATCGCTGCCCAGTCTGCTTTCCCTGCACAGCACTGAAGGGCCAGGATCAGGAGGGGAGTGGAAAGATGCACCTGTGAGTACCGGCCCCCTGCTGTTGAAATACAGGATAAAAGGTATCCCGTACTGATTTAGTATGGGACAGGCAATTTTCCACTTAAATAAGGGACATCCCTTGTAATATGTAACTGTTGGAAACCCTAGGACAGGCATGGATTTCTTTAACAGTCACTAGTGTTATGTTACTATGCAGTTTATATTTCCATTCTTTTTTATGTTTTTCCTAGAGTGGGATTACTAACTGGCTTGCAACATACGAATAATGTGAGTGTGAAATCTTTAGAGAACTATGATCACCAGATAATGCAGCCCTGTTATTTCTCTTATCTTCTATTGCATATATTCATTCCAAGCAAAAGCTGACAAAAGCACAGCAGACAGAACACACCTGAAAGAGATGTGCAACAAGATGAAAAGGTGAATTTGTAGCCCATGATATCCAAATCATTGCCTTCTCATCTGGTTATGCAAATTTAAGAATTACATTTCAGTTCTCAAAAGCATTTTGAAAATAAATTACTGTGTTCAGACTAAATAAAATGTGGCTGCCTAGTAACCGTAGAACAAGATATGAAGGAGAGTTTTACACTGAGAAAAGTGAGTGCAGCACCCAAATACAGACAAATCACCAGGCCTAAATCTTCTGGGCTATTCTTCTATTATAGCACTCATAAAACAGCTCCTGTATAGCAAGTCATTCATTCATCCCATATGTGAGCAGCAAGCTGCCATTGAAAGCTTAAAAGTAGGAAATAGAACTTCACCTAAATACCTTTGAGACTCTGGGTCTAGAATCCCAATCTCATAAACGCTCTCTTGGGTGACAGAGTAACAGCCGTGTTAGTCTGTATTCGCAAAAAGAAAAGGAGTACTTGTGGCACCTTAGAGACTAACCAATTTATTTGAGCATGAGCTTTCGTGAGCTACAGCTCACTTCATCGGATGCATACCGTGGAAACTGCAGCAGACTTTATATACACACAGAGATCATAAAACAATACCTCCTCCCACCCCACTGTCCTGCTGGTAATAGCTTATCTAAAGTGATCATCAAGTTGGGCCATTTCCAGCACAAATCCAGGTTTTCTCACCCTCCACCCCCCCACACACAAACTCACTCTCCTGCTGGTAATAGAGTTTGTGTGTGGGGGGGTGGAGGGTGAGAAAACCTGGATTTGTGCTGGAAATGGCCCAACTTGATGATCACTTTAGATAAGCTATAACCAGCTGGACAGTGGGGTGGGAGGAGGTATTGTTTTATGATCTCTGTGTGTATATAAAGTCTGCTGCAGTTTCCACGGTATGCATCCGATGAAGTGAGCTGTAGCTCACGAAAGCTCATGCTCAAATAAATTGGTGAGTCTCTAAGGTGCCACAAGTACTCCTTTTCTCTTGGGTGAGTAACCCTTACCAAGCCAGCCAGAAGCTTGCAAGACCAGGCCCTGGTTTCTTGCCATATTTATAGCTTTAAATACAAGCACATTTTTGAGTAATTCGAGTGCAGCCAAACCCATCTTAAAGTATTTGAAGTTTTCTTGCACCCTAAATGTCAATGAAATCTGATCCGCTATTTTAAAAAGTTTGCTATTAAAATGACATTCCTTTGTTTGGACTCTGCGGGCCAACATTTTAGCCCAAAGCAAATTTTAAACTGATGAGATACTGTAAGAATCCATAAGGGCTTGTTTACATGGGGAAATTGACTGGCAGAGCTACAGTGGAATAAGTATTCCATAAAGATATGTGGGCATAACTCCCCCTTGTGGACACACTATTCCAGAATTATTCCTCTGTAGCAATGCTGGTCAATTTCCCCATGTAGACAAACCCTGAGAAATTAGGCTTTTAAAGGCAATGCTTGCAGCACCTTCATTTTAGTAGCACAAACACAGCACTGTAGTTGAAAGGCTTTAGGAGATTAAAACAATGACTAGAGCTTTTTTTAAATCTGTAAACTCTAATGTTAATACTTTGATAGCTTTCACAAAGATGTGGGTTTTTTTTTTCCTGCACAAAGGAAAGGATATAGACTGCAGCTGTCACAAAGTGCTTTGTAGCTCTGAAAAGCACAATAACAAATGCATATGTTTAACAAGATGTATATTGTATAAAGAATCACCATAATTCTAATGTAGTTATCAGTCCTTTTTGCTTCCTGGTTGGCTGGTTAAATATAATACATATCTTTTGCAGCAATCCCAGATTATAGAATTTCCAATATGTACAAGTGCAGTTTGAGATTCTTTTAAGCTACATCCGTTTGTGTATAGCACAGTAAAGGCAGCCCTGTAAGAGACAAAGTGTGTTGCATGTACTATGAAAAATACAGCAAAATGAAAGGTAAATGCAACTTTTGTTAAAACATGTAGCTATTCCACTTTTATTAAAAAGTCCTTTTATGTAATTGCTATTTCACCACAAAATAGCTCTAAGGAGCAATATTCTGTATGTGACTTCTCTATGCTAAGAGACTCCCTTTGGCTCATGCATTTCTGATCTTCAGCAAGCAGAAATGTATTATGGACAGCAACACATTATTGTATACATCAAACATTTCCCCAGTGTTCAGCACACACACTGATCGGTGATGCCAAAATTATGTATTTTTATCATATCCATATTTTTAGAAATACACCATTATTTATTTATTTATTCAGCTCTTTCTAAACTGACACTCCAAATATTTATAGACAAGCTGGTGTGGATATTTTAGTGCAAGCAAATGGAAATATACTCAAAATAATTTTAAAAATCTGTCTTACTGAGTCCATATCTTTTTTCTTGAGGTCTAACGAGACATATTTCAAGATGTGTATCTCTCCCTCCACCCCCCCAACATTAGCCGTAACCTGACAATGTGTTACCATGAATACATCATACAGAAAAGCAGGAGTCCTTTTGAAAGCATAGCCCACAACCAAGGTACATAATTATCAAACTGCCTATTTATAGGCTAGTCAGAGCAGCCACATGTTATTTGCTATCAGGTCTCATTCGCAAGCCAGTAGACAACTCTTGCAGCAATGCAGATATGCCACTGCAAGCCCTCTTATGTAACCGCTCTGAGCTGACAGGAGAGAGCTCTCTCATAATAGAATAAAAAAATATCAGGGTTGGAAGGGACCTCAGGAGATCATCTAGTCCAACCCCCTGCTCAAAGCCAGACCAATCCCCAATTTTTGCCCCAGATCCCTAAATGGCCCCCTCAAGGATTGAACTCACAACCCTGGATTTAGCAGGCCAATGCTCAAACCACTGAGCTATCCCTCCCTCAACTTAACTACTCCTGCCTCACAAGCACGGTAGCGATGCCAGCAGTAGACACTCTCCCACCAACATAGCGCTGTGCACACCAGTTGTCATAAATATAAAGGGAAGGGTAACCACCTTTCTGTATACAGAACTATAAAATCCCTCCTGGCCAGAGGTAAAACCCTTTCACCTGTAAAGGGTTAAGAAGCTAAGATAACCTCGCTGGCACCTGACCAAAATGACCAATTAGGAGACAAGTTACTTTCAAAGCTGGAGGCGGGGAGGAAAACAAAGGGTCTGTCAGTCTGGGTGATGCTTTTGCCAGGAACAGAAAAGGAAGGGAGTCTTAAAACTTAGTAAGTAATCTAGCTAGATATGCATTAGATTTCTGTTTTGTTTAAATGGCTGGTAAAATAGCTGTGCTGAATGGAATGTATATTCCTGTTTTTGTGTCTTTTTGTAACTTAAGGTTTTGCCTAGAGGGATTCTCTATGTTTTGAATCTGATTACCCTGTAAGGTATTTACCATCCTGATTTTACAGAGGTGATTCTTTTACTTTTTCTTTAATTAAAATTCTTCCTTTAAGAACCTGATTGTTTTTTTCATTGTTCTTAAGATCCAAGGGTTTGGGTCTGTGTTCACCTATGCAAATTGGTGAGGATTTTTATCAAGCCTTCCCCAGGAAAGGGAGTGTAGGGCTTGGGGGGGATATTTTGGGGGGGGGGGGGAAGACGTCTCCAAGTGGGCTCTTTCCCTGTTCTTTGTTTAACACACTTGGTGGTGGCAGCATAAGGTTCAAGGACAAGGCAAAGTTTGTACCTTGACAAAGTTTTTAACCTAAGCTGGTAAGAATAAGCTTAGGAGGTCCTTCATGCAGGTCCCCCCCACATCTGTATCCTAGAGTTCAGAGCTGGTAAGGGACCTTGACACCAGTGCTTAGGTTGGTGTAACTTATGTCGCTTGTGGGGTGGCTTTTTCACACTCCTGAACAACATAAGTTATACCACAGTAAGTGCTAGTGTACACATAGCCTAATACTTGTGGGGGAAGACTTGGCCAATCACCGCTACAGACTGTGCCGCTGTAAGGTACACAGTGTAGACATAGCTAAGAGAATGCCAGTAAAGAAACCTGAGTGACAAGTCCAGAGTCAAGTCGAGTTCTTGTGAACCGAGAAGTTAAGGTCTTTAGAGAAATACCAGCAACAGAGAGGTAATTCATTTACAGATCTGAAATGGAAAGAGTTTATAAGAGAAGAGATACAGCCTTCTTTGATATGTCCTTTAGGTTCAATTGGTTCCAGCTAACATAGAAGTTTCATATTTTACAAAATACCATTTATTAGGCTCAAGAAGTGAAGAAACTAAAGTAGGGTTTTTAAAATAAAACAAATATTGATCACGTAGAGGCTATTTTTTGATCTTTCCTTACTTGTAGACACTCCTTCATTGTCTGGTAATTCCTGGGTACATGCTGCTAGGGATTAAGGAGGAGAATCTTTGAGGAGTACTCCTGCCTAATCTAAAAAGTGACTGAAGTGACCCATAAATCTAAGAGATAAGCCTAACCATTCAGGGCC